AAAGTTAAACTCACTGCCCAGGCTTTTCTTCTTCGCGAACGCGGTCAGTACCTCGTGTTTGCGAAGCACAAAATAGTTCTCGTCCAAATTCCTCCTTCACGAACGCGACTCACCCTCGCATTCGCGAAGCACAAAGTGCCTCTGCCCCAATGCCTTCTACGCGAACGCGATGCTTCATTTTCCCTCACTACGCGAACGCGACACCCCCTACGCGAACGCGTAGACCAATTGTCTGGGGTCCTCAGCTACTTCCTCTCTTCTTCGCGAACGCGTAACACCTCTCGCGTTCGCGATGCAAACCCGGTCCACCCTTCGCGAACGCGTTCTTCTCTTCGCGAACGCGAAGAATAAATATTTTCAGCCTCTCAGTTCCTCTTCGCGAACGCGATGAAGAAAACCAGATGGTGCATCAGAAAAATTCCAGCAAAGTTTCAAGTCCAAAATCCAACCCGCTAACCATCCAAAACTTACCCAAGCCCCTCGGGACCTCAACCAAATATACTAACAAGTCCTAAAATATCATACGGACTTAGTCGAACCCTCAAATCACCTCAAACAACACTAAAACCATGAATTACACCCCAATTCAAGCCTAATGAACTTTGAAATTTCTAGTTTCTACAAACGACTCCGGAACCTATCAATTCACGTCCGATTGACCTCAAATTTTGCGCACAAGTCACATTTCATATTACGGACCTATTCCAATTTCAAGAATCGGATTCCGACCCCGATATCAAAAAGTCACTCCCCCCCTCCCCCCGGTCAAACTTCCCAAAAATTTAACTTTCGGCATTTCAAGTCTAATTCCACTACGGACCTCCAAATAATTTTACGGACACGCTCCTAAGTCCAAAATCACCATACGGAGCTATTGGAATCATCAGAATTAAATTCCGAGGTCGTTTACACATAAGTCGACATCCGTTCACTATTTTAACTTAAGCTTTAAACCTTGGAACTAAGTATTCCAATTCATTCCAAAACCTCACCGGACCTGAACCAATTGCCCCGGCAAGTCACACAACAACTGTAAAGCTCAATTTAAGCAGTAAATGGAGAAACGGGGTTGTAATACTCAAAACGACCGATCGGGTCATTACACTGACATTCTAACAAAAGGATTGGGATGACCACAGCATGAATATCTTGTAAGCAAGCTAGGTGTACTGAACATATTTGCACCACCTAGCTTGAGGGGGAGTAATGAGAATACAATATGATAGTGAAGATGTATATAGCTGTGTAGAATCTTCTAGAATCAGTTATGTAGTTAGTCAGTTAGTTTAGGTTGTTAGTTAGCTGATACATCATCTATATATGTATGTGAATACACTGTACAAAAATACAAGAGAGAAAATTTTCATTTCATTTCTCCCTTTCAATATTTCTCTCTCTAAGACATTCAACTCCACAATCTCTTCTGCCGATTAGGGTTCATCAATTACCCCCAAAATCAACAATTGCACTCCTCAGCCTAAATAATGCCAATGAGAATGGCGACGCCTCAAGATTTTTTGCTCTCAAAAAGGCTGAAACCTTACATTCAGAAAGGAAAAAGAGACATACCAAACGCAAAAATGAAGGAACCTAACTAAATGCATACATACTGTTTTTTTTCTGATTAAAGAAGGTTAACATTCGAAAATAACACCTAAATGGAAGCTGGTGTTTTCTGCGAAGGCCGGCAAAGTTCACAACGGAGCACGGTTTTATAAACAGACCTAAAGAGAAAAAGTAGATAAAATCAGGACTCGGAATAGAAGTAGAGTCCATTTGGACCGTAACTATTGTAAATCAACTTATCATACTAAAAGTGGGAAGACGTCAAGTTAAAATTTGATTTACAAATATACCCATTAAAAATTAAGTACCAATTTTGCCCATGAGTAAGAAATTGCCTTCTATTAAATTAAAATAAATAAAAAATCAGTTGCATTGTTTCACATTCCAACTTTTATTTGTTTGGTCCTATGAGCTTCTACCGGTTATAGTACTAACATTTATGCATAGTCTTTACTCATATTTTACTACACTATAAAAGTAGACACCAAAGTGTCAAATTACTTCATCATTTTTTCATTTTCTCTTCTTACGTAGCAACTCCCTTTTTCCCAGAAGAACATGCTCTTTCTGTTTTTTCTTTTTTTTAATTTTGCTCTACTCCAATTACAACGCCTGTGTAAAGAAATCTCAGTGAACTTAGTTTATGGGGGCTGCTCTATTGCTCTTATCCCCATCATATATGTGATCAAAGTTCATTGTGCCGGTCTTTAAAGGAAACTCAGCACATATATCTGTAGACTATAATTTATACGCATGTGATCTTAAATCTGATGCAGTTATTCTTGATTAACATAATTTATTTTGATTGAATTGTTTCTTTTTTTCTTTTGTTCTTTGGATATAAATTTGCGCTTTGCTTTCCGGACTAATTATGAAAACGACTCGTTCTATTACTAGAGCTATTTTTTTCCTTTTTCTCCGCGATAAACATTCAAAGACTATGGGTTATTTTTGTTAATCGTTTCCTTCTGATAATCAATGTTGCTTAGGATTTATCTTTGTTTATAGAGTTAAATTATAAGTATTTTGTAATTCAATGAGATGAAACCTGGAGAATATCTTTAGACAAAAAGATGAAAGATTTGTTTTAAAATAAATTCTAGCAATCAATTGCATATATTAATATTTCGAGAAATGAAATAGTGAAGAAAATCGCCGAATAAAAAAAGGAACAGTAAAGAAAAGTTATTTTCCAATATATCTATGAGGTCTAGAATCAACGGCAAAATTAGAAGCTTCGTGTCACGTGCTTCACCAAAAGAATATTGCAAATTGAACACAAAAAATGGATACACGATGCATTAGGTAAAGATGAAAAGACTAGCCAATAACTTGAAGTCAAGCCGAATTAATGCGAGAAATCTTTTTAAAAGCATTGTAATTGATATTTTACGTGTGATCCGACAACTTTTTACAGCATGCGGCTGTAAAAAGAGGCTACAACTTCTAAAAGACAAGGCACAAACTTTAAGATGTGAAGCACTTGCAAACACAACTGACATTGCTTATATTCACATTAAAACTATGTACTAATGAAATATCAAAATTCGAGAAAATTGCCAAGTTGAATATGTGGTATATTAGAAGAACTGCATAAGAAAAAGTTATACCATTTTAGTTTAATGTCTACAACTAAAAAATATAATAGTGACATTGAGTCATACGAATAGGCTGAATATATATTCATCAATTTAAGCTTGTGCTTTTTCCTTTCAAATTTTCAGTTACTAATAATTATGCACAAGTTTTAATATTGTTTATATCGTTTTAAATTTTTTGTACCAACTGATATGGAACACACGTGCAATGCTCGTGTCCAGAAATTAGTTCCATAAAATTAGCCGAGGCCAGAATTTGAAGTTTATGGATTCTGAATTTCAATCTATTTAAAATACTGGATTCTAAATTAATAATTTATACACATACAATGAACTTCTTAATACAAATACAAGATTTGAACCAAAGCTATTGAATTCGGTCGAACCTATAAATCAAATTACACTCTCCGGCCTATAATTCATTTTAATAACACTACTGGCATAAAGCAAAATGTTGTATATATACAAATATGATTAGCTGATTTGAAGTAGCTGATAAGTATTAGGTGCTGAAAAGTATTTTTAAGTACTGAAACGTATTTAATAAATAAGCATTTAAGTGTTTGGATACAAGTATTGAAATTGATAATAAGTTACTGCAGTATTTGATAAAAAAGTGTTGATAAGCTCTTTTTCTGTTAAAATGACTTAAATAACCTTAGAAGTGTTTCCACTTATAAGGGCGTAATTTCTTCAAAATTTTAGATTCCAAATCGATCTAAATACAAAATATTCTATTTGTCATTTTATTTTAAGTACAACTGTGCTTAGATAAGATAACTTTTATGATAAATATAATTTATTTTATGATAAGCATATCATCATAAATTATAATAATTAATAAATTGATAAAAGTTTCTCAGTAAAAAAATAAACCTAAATAGGACAAAATATTTGAAGAGAAACAAACACTGTCTTTATCACCATAACACTTAGAAAGCAATACACCAAAAATTTGATATGTCTTCATTTATTACATACAGTTCAAAGATTAATACACAATCACATAAATATAAATATGCAAAGGAATAGAGAATTTGCTTATCTTAAATAGTCGATGAGCATTGCAGACTTGAAAAGCCGGGAGGGGGGGGAGGGGGGATTAGGTTGAAATAGTACTTGAGACAGTGAGTATCGATGTAAGAGTTTTGTTCTAAAAAAGAATATTTTAAGGATAAAATAATAAAAAATTTGGTCAAACTTAAAGTGCTTATAAGCTAAAAATTTATAAGTTTGGGGTGACCAGCTTATAACTTTTGACTTATAAGCACTTAGCTTATAAGCACTTTTAACTTTACCAAACGCGTAGATAAGCCGAAAAGTGCTCATAAACTAGTTTAACCAGCTTATAAGCTTAGCCAAACAATCTCTTAATTCCTGGTCACTGCGTCCATTATTCTCCAAATGCAAAAACCAATTCCAACATGGAGTGACCGAGGCTGTAATTTTCTTGCACAAATTAAGGCAAGTTAGGACAAAAATAGCAACATGAAGAGTTATGGCCTATGGGTCTAAGTTGTTTTCTACTCACCTAGCCCAGCAATTGAAAGTCATTTACTACCACAGTTGGATGCAATAAAAAAAAAAATTGAAATTTGTGGTCTAAAATTCGTGTGGATAAAATAAAAAATTTAAAGTTAAATTATTTTCAAAATGAAGTATAACATTTTTTTGGGACATACTAAAAAAGAAATATTAGATACGAGAACACTAATTAATCTTTACGAAGAGATTTACATGTAATTACCTAATAAATAATCTCGTTCTAAATACTCTTTGGTCCTTCTTCCCCTGTTTTTCACCAATCTTTGGTCTTTCTTCTGAAGATCTATCAGTAGTGGGCATTTGACAATGATTAATTAAGGATTGACCGCATGTTCACAGAATTTAAATACTGAGTCAGGTTAAAGATTTTGTAGTTTTACAATTCACAGTCCCCAAATAAACCCGGACCCCATTTTTGGGGCAACCCGGTACCCGTAAGTCTCTCTCTCCCTCACATTTCCTCGTTCCTCTTTTAGCTACCATTCCCTTCCCTTCCCTTAATTCCCCTCTGCACCAACTTTACCATGCAATCGTGCATGCAACTTTATCAACGTTAACCTATGTCAATTTGCTTTCACATTATATTTCCAGTTCCATAACGTTGGAATTATTTCCTATTCAAGCAATATATGTAAATCTACAGTCAGTTTTACTGACGATAGTGATATTTCTTTCTACCTGCATATCGATATTCAGTCATATAATGCAGAATAATATATTATATATGGGGTCTCCAGCAGCATATATATCTTCATTCCTTCGTGATATACCAAATATGTGAAATAAAGAAACTTACCAAGGGATGGTCAAGCAGATCGTATATTTCTTTTGGGATGGCCCCTTTTCCTCCCTCACGATATTCCTTTTGTTTTTTTAATTCCCTCTCTATATAATTCTTTTTCTTTATCAAGAGGATCACTCTATATCATTTTCCATTTTTCACAATAAAAAGTTAAGCTTTGACAAATTAAAGCCTTCTCGCGTATTCCCGAGCTGGCACTTCGGTTTCGTGTTGGTGGTGGTTCGGAGAAGGGGACAGGATGAGCTTGGTGGTGATCCAAGTGGTAATGGTGGCTCTTCTCTTCGTAAGTAATCACAGCTTCGCCAATGCCGGCACGGATCCATCTGACGGTCAGCTTCAAATCCTGGCTCTACCTCTGCTTGAAATGAATAAATTAAATTACTGAATTGATATATTCATCGGACTGATTGATTAGGACAGAACAAACTTAGCTTCTTTTTTTTTTTTTTTTGTGGAAATTCTGTAAGAAAGAATTTTGTTTGGTTCGAACTGTTAGTTGAATTATTTCTTGATTTCAATCACTCAACCAAGAAAACTTATGATCCAAAACAAACCATAGATATTCATATAGTTATAAATGATCATTTCATTAAGAAGTTTAAAGTTAAATTATTTCTACTATATTTTTTAATATTTTGTTTAATAAAGCTGAATTATCTAGCTGATTTTCACTGAAATGTCAAAAGAGCTCACAGAATGGCCAACATTAATTTTCAGCTTCTGCCCTGAGAGTAATGTATAGCTCCCTAAATTCACCGGCGCAGCTTACAAAGTGGAACTCATCTGACGGTAGTGATCCTTGTGGAGAGTCCTGGAAAGGCATTACTTGCTACGGCAATAGAGTTAATGAAATGTACTATGGTTCTCTTCAGTACCCATATATACCTATCATTTTTTCAATATGCACGTTATAATTTCAACTTCGAAATTGCTAATGTTTAGTTTTCATTTCATTTTCCTTCAGCCATTTATCCGGTCTAGGACTCTCTGGATCAATGGGATACCAATTAACTAGTCTGACATCTGTGATCAACTTGTAAGATTAATACCCTTCAAATTATTTCCTTCCTTCTTTGATTTGTATTTAAGTCCTAGAAATTGTAATATTTGGGGTACTTTAATTTGCAGTGACATAAGCAACAATAATCTGGGAAACCAGATACCTTATCAGCTTCCTCCAAATGTGCAGAAACTGTAAATGGAATTTAGTTTTCTGTCCTTAATTCCAGGCTCTAGTCCTTTTCTTCTTTTTTTTGAATTTACTATACATACATCATTCTGACCAGTTGCCTCGTAACACAGTAACCTTGCTGGTAATGGTTTTACTGGCGGCTTACCTTATTCGATTTCACAAATGGCTTCCCTTCAATACTTGTAAGTGAAAATTTTAAATTAAACTCATCTATATAGGTGACCATTAGGCTCATTGTTCTAATTTTCTCTCCAATTGTTGTGTCTGGTTGTAGAAATGTGAGCCATAATCAAATTCAAGGAGAACTGAATGACATGTTTGGATCACTTTCTTCTCTCAATACATTGTAAGGCCTTCTCTTCATTTCTCCCCTTTCTTATATACATTGAAATTACCCTGTTACGATTGAGAAGTTCAACGTATAATGTGCTATTCTTGATAGATATGTAGACTATCCCTTCAGTTTATTACGCGAACTGTTGCCACCAAGTGTAAAGGGTCCAAAGATGCCTAGTTGTTTGTCGCCATATTAATGATGAGAATGGGTTTGATCCTTGACCTGATGCATTGAAAATTTAGGTCCTCAAAGTATCATCAACATAAATCAGTCTTTGACATGTATCTTTTGTTTTTTCTTGGTTGATTACATTTATGCTTTGTCCATTGTTTCTTACTTTTGGTTGTTTACATTTATGCTTCAGGGATATCTCTTTCAATTCAATGACCGGTAAACTTCCTCAAAGCTTCCAGTCACTGACTAGTATGAAGAAAATGTAAGACCGGTATCTTCTGGTTCATTATTGTACTGTATTGGTTGAGTACACCGTCCTTCAAATATTGAAGTTCTAGTATTATGTTGTGCAGCTACCTGCAGAACAACCAGTATACAGGAAATATTGATGTCCTCGCCAATCTTCCTCTTGACAATCTGTGAGTTATGCACATCTTTGTGTGTGTAAATGTTATCCCTGATGTCAAATGTTTCATTTCCAGGCTTTCAGCAATTTATTGTTTGTCATGTTGATTCCTTTATGCTTTAGGAATCTTGAAAACAATCAGTTTACTGGCGCGATACCTGAGAAGTTAAGAGGGATATTGCAGTGAGTTCTTCAGTACTTTGTAAATTATTGTTCATCATTGATAAACAATAACTTTATAATTCAATTCATTGTGATACAATTGTAGAAGATCTAACAGTAACACGGGAAGCTCAGGGCCAGCGCCTCCATCTCCACCTGGCACATCCCCTGCGAATAGGTCCAGTAATCGAAGTCACAAATCCGGAGGCAATGGCAGCCCTTTCACTGGTGGCGGTAGCAGTGATAGAGATGAGAAATCTGGTATAAGTGGTGGAGGCGTTGCAGGCATTGTCATATCAGTTTCAGTGGTTGGAGCAGTTGCAGTTATCTTTAGTATCAAGAAAAGACATAGAAAGTCGTCTACAGACATAGAAAAACTTGACGTTCAGCCAATTGCTCTTCATCCACAAGAAGAACGAGGTATATAATTTTGTGACTACTGTTTTCTTTTCTTTTTGGTCATTGATAAACATATTTGGTCAACTTGATTGTTACTTTCTTCAAAAATCATACCAATATTTAGTCCACATGTTATAAATCTAGATGGTTTTGTGAAATAGGGCATTTAAATATTATGCTTTACTGTAGCCTTTAATTGGTTAATAAACTATTAATGTAGCATTGCAAGGGATTTTCACTAATACAGAGGAGAAATAACTAAGAAGGAACAAGCTTTACCATCATAAATAACAACTTGATGAACTAAGAAAGGTCCTATCTACAAAAGAGACAAGTTTCAGGCTTAAAGCTGCAAAGACCTAGTGTTAGAAATTCAGCAGGTTTTGAGTTACCTGGTGCTTTTGAAGCTTAACAGTATAAGGAAAGCATTCAATTTTATGCTTTGTAGAGCACAATCTATTGCGGTACATCAGTAGAATAAGATAAATTTGTTTTGGCAAGTTAGAAAATCAGCACCCATATAAGCACAAGATCTTTCAGAAATGTAATTGCCTTACAAGAGCACTCATAACTCAGGATGCAAGTTCCAGAAAAGGGAATGATCAATTCTCTTTCCCTTATGGAACTTCATTTGCAACTTGGTGATTCATACTTCTTAGGCCTTATCTCAATTTCCTTAAATTATGTATTGTCATGTGATCAGAATTCTGGCTTGCTTTTGCCCCTTTTACGTATATTCATTTCAGTTTTGTGTTAGCTTTTGAACCTGAATTTTGTATTCATCACCTATTTTTTGCTGCAGAGAGGAAACTTAGCCAAAATTCCTCCACAACAAGCATGAAAGCTGTTGAAACTCCCACCTCGGCGACTCTAAGACCTCCACCAATCAATCCTCATAAATCCTTTAATGGAGATACTATTTCAGCAAAACCCATTGTTCCTCAGAATGAAACTCATACAGATCAAATGAATGTTTTGCAATATTCATTTGCAGACCTACAGATGGCTACTGATCGCTTCAGTGATGAAAACCTTATTGGCGAGGGATCCATTGGGAGTGTATATCAGGCTCACTTTGATAATGGCGAAGTAAGATCTCTTTCTTGAGAATATCTATAAAAGGAAAAAGAAAATCATTCTTATGAATTTGGATTCTGCATGATGAAATCTTTTCACTATTTCAAGTTGCAGCTACCATTCTCTATGCTCATATAAGTGATCCAATTCTTTTAAGTTCCTAATATTATTTGAAATGATGTAGGTTCTGACTGTCAAGAAAATTAATTCAACTGAGCTCCGGAATCCTGAAGATTTTCTCAACCAGGTTTCTGACATATCCCGGATGCATCATCCAAATGTGACTGAACTGATTGGTTATTGTTCAGAACACGGGCAGTACCTGCTGATTTATGAATTCTACAGAACTGGTTCTCTGCATGATTTCCTGCATCGGATGGATGAAGAAGACGGCACACGACTAACATGGGATAGCAGACTCAAGATTGCACTTGGCACAGCAAGAGCACTAGAGTGAGTTTCATAATCTACAAATTTACTTTCATCGGGTATCGCATAACATTAATGCAGCTTGGAGCAAATTTTTGGAGGAGAAACATATTAACATCATGAAAGTAAATCGACCACTTAGTCTTGAGTTGGAATTGTGATGATTACCAATAGATTTAGTTGTCTCTCATTTGGAAATCAAACTTACAAGTTTGAACTGGAAATATCAATGAATATAGAGGTTTTGAAGTTCTAGAACACAAAACTTGCTCATTTTCAATCAAAAAGCTAATCAGAGTTTCGCGATGAATTTTCTATCTGTCGTTGCGACTTCTTCAATTTTATGAGCATGTTTTTTCACTAGCTAATTAATTTAAGCATCCTTTGCAGGTATCAACACGAAGCTTGTTCGCCATCTTTAGTTCACAAAAATGTCAAATCTGAAAATATTTTACTTGATACTGATCTGAATCCTCATCTATCAGACAGTGGGTTGGCAAACCTTATTGCTGATACAGATCAGGTAACATTTTGTGTTGTGCTTTACTGTGAAGTGTTCTTTGGGATATTTTTGTGAAATATTCTCATGCATAATTCAGTTTCAAGTTGTCAAAGGAGAATATATTTGGGAGTCAACTTAATCGTTTTATATGAATGTCATGCTGAAGAGTAAAGGGATAATAATCAATCACCGAAAACTGGTTAAAGGTCATTTGTTTTAGAGGAAACCTTACTATGTTATAGAGAGTTTTACGTATTGCATCTATTAACAGCAACCATTTCGTTTATTTTCGATCATGATAGATTGAATCAACCATTTCGTTCACATAAGTAGAGTAAAATCGTGTGTGTGGAAATCAGCTACACATCAGTATCTTCTAAATGGTTTCGACTTGGACTTCTTTCTTTTTTCCCTACAGGGATTAAATACAGAGTCAGGATATGGCGCACCTGAGGCTGCTATATCTGGAAAGTGTAGCACGAAGAGCGATGTGTACAGCTTTGGAGTGGTTATGTTGGAACTTTTTTCTGGACGAAAACCTTTTGACTGGTAAAGTTATTTAAGCACATATGATTTCCAATCCAAATCTGTTGAAGACAAAGAATAAGAGAATTTAGAGGGATTTTTTTGAAATAATGCGTTTGCTCTTCTGTACTCAGCTCACGACCAAGATCTGAACAGTCTTTAGTTAGATGGGCAACACCTCAGCTCCATGATATTGATGCACTGGAAAAGATGGTCGATCCGGCGCTTGTTGGACTCTATTCTGTTAAATCTCTGTCACGGTTTGCTGATGTTATTGCTCTCTGTGTCCAGGTTTGAGACTAAGTCAAAATGATAAATCCGCTATATATAGCATGTATTTTTCAAGAATGTAGCTTCTTAAATCGCCTGTCTTATCTCAATGGTAATTATCTATGTTGTGCCAGCCCGAGCCAGAGTTCCGGCCACCTATGTCAGAAGTGGTTCAAGCATTGGTTCGGCTAGTGCAACGAGCAAACCTGAGCAAGAGGTTACACGGTATTGATCAGGACTGAGGAGACGAAAGAGCTGTTCAAAAGTAAGAAACTCAGTTCCAAGCAATATTGACTCACTCTGTTGACTATTCCAGCTAATATTTTCCCCTAAATTCTTTGCTGTTTATGGGAGATTACCTGATGCTGATCAGTCCAGCAAGTTGCAATGTTTTCGATTAATACCAGATTCTGACATTCCTAAATTATCTTGACTTATGAGAGAACCTTATTAACACATACATTATTGGACTTTATACTGGCTTTGGTACTTTGCTCCACAATATTGTTAGCGGCAAGTTAATTGACATCTGACAGATAAATGTGCAACTCAGAAACCTGAAAATTTTCCATCTTAACTGAAACTGAAATACACGGTTGAAGGTGCCACTCTTCGGAAGAAATAACAAACCTGAAAATTTCATGTTAGATCAAAAACAGTATATGAAACGGAAACTGGGCAAAACACAATTTAGGTGATCACTATGTTGCATCCAAGGCTTGATTGTACTTCAATGATGAGCCACGGACAATGTGACATACCTCTAGATACACAGGTACTTGTTCGCTCTAACACGGACCAAAAATTTGTAAAATTTTATTTCGAGCGATAGTTCGCAGATATAAATGTTCCCGTTTCTGTAATATGCTGATGAAGGTCTGTGTTCCTATTTTAGTGTTACTGCAGTTTCATCAGGAAAACGAAGGACAAATAGTTCTTTCAAATAGGAATTTTGTAGTGTATAGAAATCCAATTTATCATTTGGTAAAGAGATAGCAATTTGATTCAGCGCATAGCGTCAGTACAGGATGTAGCAAGTAGGTTATTGGCGAGTAAGTTATAATC